GAAAATTGAGGCTGATCCTGTCAAAGGAGGGAGAAAAGACAACCCACACTGCTGGTGAACAACCGTTCGGCACAGCCTGGGCCACTCAAAGGCATCGCACAGAGACAGGAAAGAGTCTGCCTCTCACTGGCACATTTTGTCTTGTTTTGTTTTGTTTTCATTATTGGCTCCTTTCATTAAATGTCTAAACCCAAACCTAAGTAACAGACTTATCATAATCACTGTGTTCACCATTCATTATCCTATTACTATTATCATGTATTATCCTTTATTATCCAACTCTGCTTATGCCTTGGGTTGGGTACATGTGATTCTCTTAGAGATTACACTCTAAGAGTCAGGACAAAAGCAGGGACAAACCATCAAGGCCTAAAAAAAAGTCTTAAAGCAACTCGTCAGGATAGTAAATATGCTGTTGACTATGGTGACAGCGTAGTTTACTGTTACCTGAAATAAGATAAACTGGAAATCAAATCCTTCTTTTTAAATAGAATGTCACGGAGCTAAAAAAAAAAAAAAATGATTTTGGCCTACAGGAAGGTGTTAATTCTACTGGTCATTCTCAGCTGGTGGTGTGTATGCGCATGGCCAGCTCTGTATACAGCACCATGCTGTTTCAGTAACAGCAAGGGTATGGGTGCAAGCATTTGCCCTCGGTGAATCTGTCACAGACAACTCTACATCTGAGAACACATTCCACTCCCATGTTTTCAGATTCTACCTTTTCACCTTCCTATTCATTCGACAAATGTTCATTGACTTCTTGAGATAGGCCTAGGCTGTGCTCTGGGAACACAGCGGGCAACAAAATCAGGCTTAATCAGGAGCATAATGATGCCATCTGCCCTCTTGCTTGCTCCCTCACAGGAAGTGTCTCCACAGCTCAGGGAGGACTAAACGAAGCTTCTGGTTCAGGAGATCAATGTGGGTACAAAGTCTTCATTCTGTTGATTATATTGGTAGAGGGGAGGAGAGCCTGGAAAGACTACATCGTTTGGGTGCAGTTGTATACACTCCATGTCTACACGGGCAGATGTCAGGATAAACCCTCAGCTCCCATTTGGCTGGAGCAGGCAGGCTCTGAGAAGAGTTGTTCAGCTGCTGTTTAAGCTACACAGAAGAAAAATGACATTTTTGTCGTCTGCTTAATGAAAATATCATAGGTAGCAGTGGGGTTGAGGACTGGATAAGTATTTCAAGTGTGCTTAAAATGCTGTAGGAATAATTGCTGTCTCTCCTTGATGTCATGGGCCTCAATAAAAGATACCAGTGCCTGTATCAGAATTGCAGTTACATGGACCAGCAGGTAAAGCTCATTTTCTTCATTTCCTGGAAGAACAAGGATAGGATAGGGATTAAGTGGAGTTGTTCCCATGAAACTATTGTTTCTAGGGTGGTAACTTCTTTTTTTTATTACTATTATGAAGATGTTGTTTACAATTCAGGGTTAGGTAGGTATACATACATTGATTATGCAGGTACCCTTGTTGATGAGGTATGTCCCTCCCTCCCTTAGCAGTTTCCCTCAACTACCAATCCTACCCTTCCTCCCCTGACAGTATCCCACTACTGCCAAATGCTTTCTTAGAGTATTATAATTGTTCAAGATCCGCTTATGAGTGAGAACATATGGTACTCTGTTCTTTGTTTCTGTGACAGATCACTGAGTATGATCGACTCCAGATCCATCCAAGTTGCTGCCAAGTCCATATATTTGTCCATCTTTATGACTGCATAATATTCCATTGTGTATATGTAGGGTGATGACTTCTTTAAGAGGAGATTCCTAAAAGGCATATCTGACCAATCAAGCAAGGGTGAGGGGTGGCCAAGTAAGTTACATGAAGAACCATCCCACAAGCAACAAGTAATTGACTGAGGAGTTAGAATTTAGTAGCAGCAAAAGGCTTATGTGTCATATCCATCGTTCCCCAGGCCTCTCCCTCTATCCCCAGGCTTCCAGAAAGCTAAGGGAAGAGCTGTTGTTTATATTAGGCTCAGTCACTGAGGACAAAGGATTCTCAGGAATGGAAAGCTATCCCTACCTCATGCCATATGCAAAAATTAACAATATGGATCAAAGATAGAAATGCAAAGCCTAAAACTGTAAGACTCTTAGAAGAAAATATACAGGTGAATCTCCATAACCTTAGATTTCACAGTGGATTTTTAGATATGACACCAAAAGTATAAGCAACAAAAGAAAAAAGGCATTACTTTGGACTTCATCAAAATTTAAAATTTTGTGCATCAAAGGACACAGTCAACAGAGTGAAAAGGCAACCTGTGGAACAGAAGAAAATATTTGCAAATCATATTATCTGATAAAGGGTTAATATCCAGAATGTATAAAGAATTCTTGCAACTCAAAACAAAAAGACAAACAACTCATTTAAAAATGATCAAAGTACTTACATAGATACTTCTCCAAAGAAGATATTCATGTGGCCAACAACCATATAAAATCATTGAGCAAATACAAATCAGTTCACCTCCACTAGGATGGCTATAATTTTTTTTTTTTTTTCTTTTAAGTTGGAGTCTCACTCTGATGCCCAGGCTAGAGTTGCAATGGCACACTCACGGCCATCACAGAGTCAACATGCTGGGCTCTGGTGATCCTTCCGACTCAGCCTTCCAAGTAGCCGGAACTACAAGTGCATGCTACCATGCCCAGCTAATTTTGTATTTATTGTAGAGACGAGATCTCACCAATTGCCCAGGCTGGTGTCAAATCTGCAGGCTCACGCAAACCACTCACCTTGGCCGCCCAAAGTGCTGGGATAACAGGCTGAGCCACCAAACCTGGCCAGGATAGCTATAATTTTTTTAAAAAGAAAGAGAGTGGAACCCTTGTACCTTAGAATATGAAATGGTGCAGCTACTATGGAAAACAGTTGGGCAGTTCCTCAAAACATTAAACATAAAATTGCCATATGACCCAGCAATTCCACTCCTAGGTATAGACCCTCAAGAATTGAAATCCGGTATTCAAACAAGTACTCGGGCATGAATGTTTATAGCAGCACTATTTACAATATCCAAAAGGTAAAACAACTCAAATATACATCAACTGATGAAAGAATAAACAAAATGCGATGTAGCCATATAAGAATGTTATTTTTAAAAAATCAAGTTCTTGAAAAGCCTTATGGAAAATATTAAGAATTTTATTCAGCCATAAAACATAATGACATACCGATACATGCTACAACATAGATGAACTTCAAAAACTTCATGCTAAGTGAAAGAAGCCAGACCCTGTTTGTCACATATTGTTTGATTTCATTCATATGCAATATCTAGAATTGGTAAATTCACTGAGACAGGATGATTAGTGACTGCCAGGGGCTGGGACAGGAAGAGAATGGAGAGTAACTGCTTAAAGCAGGCTATAGGGTCTCCTCTGGGGGCGATGAAAATGTTCTGTAACTATATAGAGATGATAGTTGCACAACATTGCGAATGCACTTTGAGTGCCACTTTAAAAGGGTTAACTTATATTTTATGAATTTCATCTCAACTTTTTTTTAATTTCTGATTTTGAAGATGTGGGGTACAATTCAGGGTTAGGTATACAAATGTTGATTATGCAGGTACCCTTGTTGATGAGGTGTGGAAGGTTAACATTCCAAAAAAATTATCGCAGTAAGTGGAGGAGGTGAGTAGAGGGTAGGGAAGATGCTGTTTTGGTGGTCCTTAAGTGTAAGAGTAGAACTTCTTGCACTCTGGTCAGGTATTGCTAGGTTGCTGCCAGGTGATGTCTTATGCTACAGCCAACTGCACTGTGACGTCTCCAAGACCCAAACCTACAGGAACAGGCTTCATCCAAGTTTCCCTCTGTATCTAGGAAGATGACAATATGGCCCTGTACGTGGAGACGTGAAGGACTGACCAGACCTCAGTGATCACTAGCTTCTAAACCTAGATGATGAGCTGATTCTGGGACTCAGTGCAGCTAATGGATTTACCTTTCAGCTGTGTGTCTTGAACATGGGAATGTTTCTTTTTGCCCTTCCTGGCAAGACATTCTTTTCCTATTCTAGAGACTTAGTGAAAATGCTTAAGGGCTAGACAGAAGTGTGGAGAGAAGTAGAAAGAGTCTTCCCTCTTTCTCCTTCAGCTATTCATCTGCAAGTAGTTACCAAGTTGTAAGCCCAGCATTGTTGGAAATGGGCAGTTACGTGCAAGATGGTGGGAAGAGGTTGCCAATTCAGGCCACGATGGCCAATTTTCATCCTGCTGAAACTGAAACAAGTGGTAATAAGTAGCCAAGGAATTATATACAGCTGTTTTTTTAATTTAAAAAAAATCATATATGTGATCCATTTTTCTATTCAGGTTCATAATGGTTCATAGGATGCTATAGGCACTTAATTAAGACCAGTGTTACTACTAATGATTTGGGGAAGGAAATTTGCAGGATTTCTTTTTCTCTAAATAATCCAAAAGGAAGTTAGACCCATTAAATTCACAGAGTTAGATTATTTTAAGAGAAGAAAATGTGGCTAGGTGCCATGGCTCACACCTTTAATCTCAGCACTTTGGGAGGCCAAGGCGGGAGGATTTCGAGACCAGCCTGAGCAACATAGCAAGACTTTTTCTCCACGCTATATCAGAATATCACCCAGGTGTGGTGGCATGGGCCTGTAGTTCCAGCTACTCAAGAGACCGAGGCAGTTAGGGTCACTTCAGCTCAGGAATTTGAGGCTGCAGAGAACTGTGGTAATGCCACTACACTCCAGCCTGGGCTAGAGTGAGACCCTGACTCAAAACAAACAAACAAAAAAGATGAGAAGGAAATGCAGACAGCACATTTGTTTATCATATTGTAAGTTGTTTTGGTTAGAGACCATTCTGCCTCATTTATGTGCTTGAGGTGGCTGTGGAGAGTATGCTCGCTTTAGCCTGAACAATTTTGATGTCTCATGTAATTTAGGAAAAATGAATGGTGTAAATTTTTTTCCAATAACAATTTTTTTTTATTTTCCTCCTTCCAGGATTAAGTTGTCATCATTCTTGAAGTAAAAAAAAAAAAGACATTAATGAAGTGGCCAATAATATGAAGGGAATCATGGATCAGTTTTCTCTCGCTCCCTGTGGTGGATTTCACTTATAAGAAAATTGAAGCTGGCAAGACCTTGTTCTCTCTGCAATTTATTTAAAAACTTGCACGCATTTGGATACCTTGTGATTTCCAAGAACTATGTGAAGATTAAGCTTTGCTTACTGATACATGGCATGTATTCTTTTCAGTCTTTTGTGTTTGATTTTGTTTGATTTCCCTCTGCAGCGCAGCGTCTCTGTAAAGGTTTTTATGCTTTCACCAGCCATGTCTTAAATACATGAAGACAACACATTTGGTGTTCACACTTCTTCAGTAATGTCTCTACTTGAAAGCCACATAGTGGCATAAAACAATGTGTGTTTTCTTTGAGAGCAGTGCACATTTTGCAACCACCAGGAAGGAATTTTTTTGCTAAAGCAAACCCCTGTTCTCTGACTCGACAACTTGGTCTCTGACTATGGGGCCCTACCTGTTGCTTATCTTTTGAGGACATTTGCAAATTGGAATTTTTTTCTGGGAAATAACTGCATATTTATATAGAATATTGAAATCTGCTTAGCATTTTCGAGCCACATAGCATGACTGTTTTTTTTAATAGATTGGAAGTAAAGAAACAAATATCAAACATTAAGAACAAAGACAGGAATAAATTGCTTACTTTTCAACCTCTAGAGACTGAGGTAACTTTTTAAACGTGCCTGGATCTTGTCACCCTCTTATTTTTACCATCCATTCTGTTACATTTTGTATTTTCTAAACAGGAGGAAAGAGTGAGGAACAGAATGTTTAAAACTTGGGTGCAAAAGAATTATATCTGTTGAATGAGCTCTAAAAGGAGCCCTGGCTGGTTAATGCTTAAAAAGCGAATAATAAAATAATCCATTTCAAAGTTGTATCAGTTATAACAAAGCACCTTTTAAAAAATCACATTTTTTAAAAACTACATTTAAAAAAAATTGGCCGGGCTTGGTGGCTCATGCCTATAATCCCAGCATTTGGGGAGGAAGAAGAGGGAGGGTCAGTTGAGCCCAGGAGTTTGACACCAGCGTGAGCAACATAGCCTTGTCTCTACAAGGTATCAAAAAAATTAACCAGGCGTGGTGGAATATGCCTGTAGTCCCAGCTGCTTGGGAGGCTGAGGTGGAGGGATCGCCTGAGCCCAGGAGGTCAAGGCCTTCAATGAGCTATAATCCTGCCACTGCACTCCAGCCTGGGTGACAGAGTGAGACCCAGCTCAAAAAAAAAAAAAAAATTCCAAGCTGATTGGAAAATATCGCTGGGTTCCTTACTTTAAAAGGTCTCCTGAAATTACTTTTCAAATGCGTGTTTCAGAAACAATCCAGGAATCTTGTTTTAAAGACGGAAAAGAGAAGCAAGGCCCAGCTTCCCTTGTTTAAGGAGCTGAGGAACCTTGGACAATGAAGGTAAATATGAGACTATAGGGAAAAGTGGACGGGGCGTGCTTGCTCTTTAATCTGGTTGGAGAGCCGCCTGATACAGGCTGGTCCCAGGGAGATAGGCCTCGCTGAGTGAGCCCTGTGATCCTGCAGCTAAGGGGGCAGGGAGAAGACTTCCTCTAAAGCACGAAACCTTGCTTGTCTGGACACAGACTCCTATGAAAATACTGTTTTCGTGTGCATTGTTTTACATTTGCCTATTAGTCAGAAAGGAGAGACTACATGCTTGAATTGTGTTGTACTTCTTCAGGATCGAGTCTAGGAATTACGAACCAGTTTGACAAGGACTTTCTCTGAGAGGCGAGGGAAAAGTTATTCTATAGTCAAACCCAGTACACCTGGGAAGTTGGGTGTATTGGGAAGTTCTGAACTTTAGAATGGTACTCTCTCTGGAGTGGGGTGCAGGTGGGTGTGTCCAGGTCCTAATCCATCCTATCCAGATGTAGCATTCATTGTAAACTTCTAAGTGCTAAGCAACTAAGGAGTGGTTTACTGATTGATTTGAAAGAGAACAAAAGACACCCAAGGGCAGCATGTTTACTATTTGCTGCCTAGAAATCTTTTTCTTACCTCTTTCATACATTCCAACCCACTATAAGTCTTTAGAGAGGTATTTTGACTTTAAGTATACTTAAATTCGGGTTTCTTAAAGTAAATATAGGGAGAAAGCTTTACCTGCAATCCAAAAAGGGACTTTCCTGTCACTTGTTTTGAATCATTCATTTGGAGAGAGGCATAACTTTTGTATTTCACTAAGTTTAAGTGCAACTAATATGAAATCTTGTTATTTAATAAAGTTTCTAACTTGAAAATTTGAAAATATGTAACACTGAAAGACCTCTATTAGGGCTATTAGAGATACATGCCTGTGTCATAGGTAGCTTCTCTTGGGAAGTGAGATACAGTACTATTCAGTGAGTGAGAAATCTGTCTATTACAGAGACATACCTCTTGGAAGGTTGAGAGGCTTTGAGTTCCCCATCTTTGCCATGCATAGAGGAAATCCAAAGTTTGATTTCTCTTTCTTTCTTCCTCTCTCTCTCTCTCTCCTATTTGCAATCATATTTGCCCTCTCTGAGGGCAGTCGTGAAAATCAGTACAGACTGTGTTGATTAGCAGATTTATTACTCTTTGAAGAAGCACTGGAATGTTTTGTGAGATTATTTTTATATGAAAGAATAGCTTGAATTTAAACAGCTGGTAAGAATAGTATGACTACCTTAGCACAGGACATCACTGCACACATAATATTCTGAAAGAATAGTTTGGTTGACTTAAAAATACATAGGACATGGGGGGAAAAAAGCCTGCTATGCTCAGCAAAAAATAGGGTACATAAGACAGGGATGACTGTCCATCCACTGCTGCAAGGGTGAGAAGCTATTTCTACCTCCCAAGAGTGACTAGAAAAGTTTCCAGAGGTGCCTCCAGGCTTGCGGAAGAAAGCAAGGTCTCTTGGTATCTTTCCTTGGTGTGTATATGACAGCCAGTGTAATCAGTACCCTAGGTTATGCATCTATATCAGATACTCACCTGTGAATATTATTGGTTTTGTAATCTTTGTTATATAAGAGGATGTTTAGGTTGTACATAGCGGGGTAGATTATTGCCTGCCCCTATACATAGGAATATCCTACATAATTGCGCATAACTTCCATCTCCTTTACTGGCTTGTAAGCAGAGAAAACTGTATATGTTACTGCCTTGTAATTTTCTCATACACCCCCCCCCCAAAAAAATCACAGTAAAATAAGCAATCTCCTATTCTCATTCCTTTTTCCACAGGAGCATATTTTAGAGGCACAAAATCAGCATTCTCTAACTGGGAGTAATTTTTTTTGTTTTTCTTTTATCTTTTTTCATATGATGCACTTAGATGTGTACTTTCTGACAAGGGGTTGGTACCTAAGAAATGTAGTAGCATCATTCAGAAAACTATTCTATTTCAAAATGACTCATAGTAAGGAGAATGGAATAATACATGTTGCATATTTGTTACCAATTGTAATTTGTCTGTATTATGAAAGATGTAATGGTTTGTCAGCTGTCACTGTTTTCTTGTAACATGATATGGAATAAAGTATAGCAGAATCTCAATACATCTTCTTGGTGGATGCCCAATAAGACCATACCAAAAAAAACACATTGTCTTCAACCTCTTGGACACAACCATTCTTAAAGAGTAAACTGAGAGCCCAAACACACACTATGCACACTATGTGGGATTGAGTGGGCTAGCTGGGGTGTTCCAGCAGTCTTTTGAGCCCTCCTCTCTCCTTGATTTGCTATGCTAAACGTGGGAAGGAGACCAGGCTGTGCAGAGCAAGTCTGTGAGCTTCTTCACAACTCCCCTGGCTCCTTACTGGCATTCACCGTGTGTTCTACACATTTTGCATGTACCCGGAGGCCTCCTGATTTGTTTGACAACAGTCCTGTGAATCTTATATTGGCTCTTTCTCGATTTTTTACACATACCCTAAGACGAGGTGAATAGGTTCCCTCCACGGAATACAAAGAAAAGCTTCAGCATGCAGATGTGCTGCCAGAGGCCTGACTGTCCTTACTGAGCTGAGCGCACTTCCCCCGAGCACCACCTGAGGGCCTCTGCACCTGGATGGACAGGGCACTCAGGATCCCACGTTTGGATGGACAATGCCAGTTTGGGATGTTTGGACGGACAATGCCAGTTTGGGACGCCAGACCCTTTCCCATCATCGCCATCTCCTTGTTGCGTTTGTCATAACCCCAGACAAGCCCCCAATTAATAAATTGCTAATAACGCTCATGCCAGGTATAGTCGATTTTATAGATAGGCTGTTTGGTGATTTGAAAGCACTTACAGACCAGGAGTGGTGGCTTACGCCTGTAATCTCAGCACTTTGGGAGGCTACAGGCAGAAGGATCACTTGAGACCGGAATTTGGAAACCAACATAATGAGAGATCTTGTCTCTACTTAAAAATTGCTTTTTAATTAGCCAGGCATGGTGGCATGTGCCTGTAGTCCCAGCTTCTCAGGAGGCTGAGATGGATCACTAGAGCCAGGGGTTCAAAGCTGCAGTGCTTGACAATCATGCCAGTGCCCTCCAGCCTGAGTGACAGAGCGAGACCCTGTCTCAAAAATAGATAATAAATATGCTTACAAATTGGAGTACCATGGCAGGAAAACGGAGGATTCCTGCCTCTCCCCAGGTAGACCCTCACCCCCCAGGAGCAGCTACCGCAAACTTTCCTTCCCTTACCATTTTCCTACAACTTCTGTGACGTCATAGTTTGTCAGCCCTTCACACGAAACCAAACATGAGAGTTCTCAGCCGATGCATATTCCACTCCGAAAAAGCTCATGAGAGCCATTGCGTCTTCAGCTCTCACCACCACTGGATTCTGGGACAGGAGATTGCATGGAGGCCGACTTCACAGTAGCTGAGGCAGAGATAATTTGCAAATGTCTTTGTTAAACGAGAGCCATAAATGACCCAGAGGACTGATGAGAATTACAGAAGAGTGAGAAGAGTATTTTGTTCCAGGGAGGTGCTTCAAGGGCTCAAATCATATGACTGTATCACTTCCAAGCAGCTACAGTGGCTCATATGCCTGTTATTGAGGTCTCTCCCAGCAGCCTCCGCAGCAGGCTCACACTTTAGAGGTTTAATGGCACTAACTCTTAATAGGAGAAGGAGATGGAGGGCTGTTATCTACAAGAGGCCAAAACAGCACCTTTGAGAAGTATTTTTAACTTTCTAAATGCAGTAGAAAAGTCAAGCATCCTCTCAGTTCCATAATTGCCCGACGTTCCCGTGTTTTTTCAGCGAGGGCTCTTCCAGCTCTGCCAGGTTGGAGGATGTGCCGTGTGCTCACTGAGGCAAGCGGTTCGAGTCAGGAGGGCGGCACTCCTGTAGTCGCTGTTGGCCTCCAGAGTCAAGGGAAACCAGAGGGGAAGGTGTTGGAGCAACCTTGTGCCACTGGGTTAACACATACAGTTGCTGAATAATGGCGGGCATTGTAAGTCTCTGCAATGAGACCCCACAGTGGCCCAGCGGCCTGCTGCTACCGGTGGGTGGTGGTGTTATGGGCATTAGCTTTGAGAAGCTTATAGAGCAGAGGGGGCCAGGATGAAGGACACAAATCGGGGGAAAAACTGACAAGATTAAAAAAATCCAAGGCCTCGTATTTACTGTTCAACCCCCATGCTCTCGGTGTGCTGTATTGTCTGCGT